TCAAACTTCAATCAAAGCATGCTAAAACATTGTAAACATGATAACAAACAGCAATACATGATCAAAATGTGTTTATAGTGCATAAATCATGGAAATCGAATTTTAAAAATATTGCAAACCGTGATGTTCATACAAGGTGTTTCTGAGCATGAAAGGACTTGTAATTGGTCTAGTTAGCTTCAGAAATGTTCCAGGATGCGATTGGGAGTGTTGGAAGGCTTTGAATCGTCCTCTAGGATAGATCAGATCACCACTTTTTGTCAAAATTTGAGCTTTTGTTCTAGGAACTTCCACGACTTCCAACCCTTTTCATGCTTTTTTATTGTTCATTATATACCCTTGAGTGAATTAGGGTTGCAAAACCGATTGAATCTTGAAGTTTTAATGAGATTTGATTTGATTCTTTAGCCATATTCAAACTTTCTAAATTGAGCCAAATTATCCCATTTTTGTACCAATCATGCTTGATTCGATTTGGTCTTGATATCTCAGCATAATTTGATTGAGATCCTGTCCAAAAATCATATCAAAACATATCTTTGATATTATTTACCAATTATTTAATTTTATTCAATTTTTAATAAATAAAAAATCAAAATAAAATAAATAATGAAGAAAATAACATGTGAGTGAATATTTCGGTCGTGGACCATGCTACAAGTGAGTTGTAATCATGAAATGCTAAGCCCATTTGGTAAAAAATGCACTTTTGAGCATATTTGACTTTTGGCAATTTTGCAAAAAAAGTCAACTTTGACAAGGCATATCTCCTCCAATTTTAACCCTAGAGAGGTGTTCTTGGACTTTTTAGAAAGCTTAGCTTGTCCCCTAAGAAACCCTTTTGGTATCGTTTCAACCGGGTCTTCCATGTTCATGTAAAAAGCTTTGACCCAAGAGGTGTTTTTGTTGACTTTTCAAAAGGACCTGTAATGTAGAAATTCATATCTTTTGATGAGTGCATATTTTGAACTTGTGGGATGAATATGAGTTGTAGGGAATTGCATACTCTTAAAAATGAGCCTTGGATGGAAAATTTCTGATAAAGTATGTGGAAGTTATGTTTGGTCAAAGTTAGGTTGACTTTTCCTGAGAACCCTAATTTAGCAAATTTTGGGTTTTGATGAATTTAGGGCATTCCTTGAAGAATCATGATCAACCCTTGATCAAATGATGGATATCACTTCAAAAGGTTGATGTTGACCAAAAATCTTGAAGTTTGACTGTATGTGGGCCACATTTGACTTTTGACCTAATACAGTCGATTCTCAAGCATCTGAGTAGTTGACTGAGCAAACTTCTTGTGCAGTGCTTGAAAATTGACATGGAGGGTCTTGAGAACATATTAGGACCATGGAAAGCATATGAGGTCTTTAGATTTCACCTATCTTTATTAAAATGGAAACCCTAATTTGAGACACACTGCCTTAGGAGAGAGTTTGTCTGGTCAACTCTTGGGAAAACTTGAACAAATTTAGGATCTCTAGGAGTATGTATTGAGTAAAATGAGAGGGAAAATTTTGGGGTACAAAAGTTGCCCCTGTTCAATCTTCTTAAACTCAAGGATGTGGATTGGCTCGTTTGCCTGGATAGTAGGGCTGTGAGAAGGAACCTGGATAGTAGGGTTACTTCGATATGAAAGCCTGGATAATAGGGCTGTGAGAAGGAACCTGGATATTAGGGTTACTTCGATATGAAAGCCTGGATAGTTGACCCATTTGGTTTAGGGAACTGAGTTTCCGTTAGTTGTCTGTAGACGTGACCTGTATAACTGCTGGATTTTTCGAAGCTAACCATTTTTTCCTGAAAGATATCAGGATTAGTTATATGCGATGCATGAAATGCAGGGTGAGATGATGTTCTCAAAATAAATGAGATTATGCTGTATATGATATGTATGCGTATGTCATGATGTATGTTCATGAAATGCTATCGGGGTATGCTCGCGTCTTGGAAAATAAATCCCTGACAGTTGCTGGAGATGTGTAAATATTCTGCCGGGAATCGAGATGCTGCTTGAGAATAAACTCTGTGGGGAATGAACTTAGAAAATGTAATTTTGTAGCTGAAGTGATGAACTCTATCGGGGATCGAGCCTCTGTATCTGGAGAAATAAACTCTGCTTGGGGGATGAAATTTACTGACTCGCCCGCGATTATGAACCTCAGTTGGGGTGGTTACGTCCTGTTTCCGAAATGCTGACATCAATGCCTTTGGATAATTTTCCTCTATGTGGAGTGTATGTACCAATAATTATGTTCCCAAGATGGCTCTATCCCGGTACCTGCTGGGCGGAATAACCGTCGGGTTTGGCACTTCTTATTTTTTCCCCTGTTTCTGGAATTACGAGTAATTTTCTTTTGTTTCTTATGTAAATATTTATGAGCAACAATCATTTTCAAATGCATATATTAAAAATAAATCATTGGACGTTCTTGCAAAACAAAACAGAAAAAGAAAAAACAGATTGAAGTTTCTTGTGAAAATGATTTGTATTGATTTTTGAATTTGGCCTGTAATAGGCGTTTTTGTACAAAGAGGCTGACGCTCTAGTGTTGTACCCAAATTTTTTCCCCTAAGATCCCTCATCACACTTTGTACATTTTGCACATAGCGTTGGTCTGATGAATATAAGATCGGGGCACTTTGGCATTAGGGTTTCTCTCTATGAATTGAGTTTGCTATCTTATTCAAAATTGACTCAACTGGCGCTCTTGTTTTTCTTGGTATGAGATTAGGGTTTTGGATCTCGAGCGGCATAGATGTCTTCGCTATCAGGTTTCCTCAAGATGCAAATTTTTCTTCATCAAGGTTCTTTCAAGGAACAAAGGTATTAAGGCCTAACTCAGCCAGAGAATCAGGACTTCTCTTCATTTTGTTTGAGCTTGGTGGTGATTCTTCTATGGAGCTTTGTTGGATTAAAGTCTCACTTCAAGGCTACATTGAGCGCTACTCTTCCCTTACTGAAAGATTGCTTTGAGTTTTATCAAGTTTAGATATGTGTCATTGGGTAAGCTATGTGTTAGGAGCTCATCCAGCTCATTTCATCAAATGGAGGTTGGTCGCTTCAAATGCAAGGTTACTAGAATCTATGGATTTAATTGAGATTGAGATACATAACCTTCATTAGGTCATCTGACGCATCATGCATCATTAGTCAATAGTTTGGCTTGGGATCAGGGATTTCGAGGAATTAGGTTTGTTGAATGGCTTTAAGGCTCTTATCTTCGCACAAGCTTGTTTCGGTTGATTTTTCCGTCAATCATTTGTTCGAATTAGGATTTTATTTCCTGGACTTCTTTATCATCAAACTACAGGGATATTCTCTCTCCTCAGCATCAGGTTGCAATCTTTCTTCAATGCTTAAGAATTAGGGTTTTCTTCTGTTATGCTTCAACTGGGGATCATTGGATTAGGGCTCGATCTTGTGGTTATCTTGAGCTTCTCCTTCTTCAACATTGTGGACTTGTTTTGAATGATACGGTTTTTGGTTCTCATCAAATACTTGTTACTTCAATTGCAAGTTAACTTGGACTACTGAGAGAAATGACTATTGACTTGGACTCGTTGAAACTTCCAATCGTGCTCAGAGTTAATATTGATTCAAGGTCTATTTAATTTCATAACTTCGTTAATGGTTGATTCAAGATAGGGTCGGGAGATTCATTCATATGGATTCAAGGAAAATTCATTCAAGTATTATTCAAGGAGGATCTAAAATACGAATTCTAGATTCACCAAATCATCAATCCAAAAATGTCAAGATTCATTAAAAAAAATCAATAGTGCAAGGAAGAAGTCAATATCATATTTCTAAATAAACCACTTAGTGCATCACTTTGGATATTTTACTCGCGCAATAGTTATCATTCAAGAGGGAGTCACATTCAGAACTTAAAGCGTGCAAAAAATGGAGGAAATGGTAAAGGGACTTTATTTCTTAAATTTACAAGTCAATATGCAAGATACAAAAAGCCAAGACATGTTAGGGGAGTGCATTACAGGGAGAAACACGAGAAAGATACAAGGGAAGTACATTATTCGTCGTGCTGGAGCCTAGGGATGGTTATTTAACAAAAGTTCAGTGGGCTAAGGTTTTACTTCATAGTCATCTTGATTACCCTCTTTCCATACTCATCTTCGGGGATTCCCTAAGAACATTCATTTTGTTTTAAGATCAAGATATCGTGTGGTTTGAATTGCTTATGAGGTTATCAAAGATTATAAGCATGCAAGATTGAGGAATTTGTTCATGAAGATTTCTTGTCATCTAAATTAAAATATTCAAGGCATGTACAATAACTACGACCTCTATTCACTCAAGACATTATTCCAGATCATACAAAGCATAATTCTTCATAATTCAAGATTGATTTTTTATCCAATTCCTTGTGGATATATTCTTGTGGCACTGTCGAAAATCAAGCATGGAATACAAGCTACTTAATCCACAAGATCTTAAAGAAAAATAAGAGGGATTCAAGTCCAATGTCATTTCTAAGATGCAAGGCATTACAAAGGCTATTAAAGCTACAACCAAAGGAAAAGACTTGGAATTTTCAAATGAAAATGGAGTGAAACAATGGAGAGTCGCATTTCTTAAAATATTTGTCGTGTTTCAAATCGCGTCATTAAAAAACTAAAGACTCACTACACTTTCAAAATCATTACATCATCACAAGTCCTTTACACCATACCAAGAAATACATCAATTTTGTTCAAGAATAATCCTAATGTCCTAAAAGAAAATTTACTTCCTGCGATCTACATTTTCTGCAAGCTATCTTTATAAGACTTCACTTGCTTTCCTCTCAAACCCTATAAAAACCCTTCCGAATATCAACAACCTCTGTTAAATCTCATTTCAAACTTTCGTTCCTCACTCGCTTTCTTTCCGTTCAAGATCTATCCATAACCTTAGCGAAATTGGACTTGCAAAGCATTTTTGGATCAAGTTCAACCGTGAATTAATCTTTGCTCTGTTCACTCTTTTTGTCATCTCTTTAGCCTCCGGTAACCTCAAGACCGATTCCTTCCGACATTACATCGCACAAGTTGTTCATTTTCTTCGTTCTTTTGCTAAAGCGTATGAGTGGGGCAAGAGTATGCTGACGATGATGATGATAAGCTTGGACTTTCTCAGTTGAGGAAGGAAGTCTTAGAGGAGCTGAAGTTGCACGACTCTCTGGTAAAGGAATGGGGGACTGGACCTTGCCAAAGAGCATGGTATTAGCTCTGCAACAGTTAAGTATACAAATTTCCTGTTGGCTACTGCCTCTGGAAATATCGAAGGATTGAAAAGTTCTGGGAAACTCGCAACACCATTTGAGAAAACCAAAATTGCTGCCTATACTTTAGGTGCCATGAGTCCTTGCATAAGGCTTTATGCCTTTCTTGGTGAAAAGATCAAGGAATTTCCACACTCCAACGAAAGTTGTGAAGATGCTTATGCAAAACCAGTTCAAAAAAAATACTGAATTCATAAATCCAAAGCTCTTCTCAACCACCTACAAAAGAAAAAGGAATGTCCAGTTACAGCAGCCCTGAATATCAGAAAGTTAACAGTCATGTGAGATCACTAGTATAGTTCAGAAAATGCGAGAAAAAGTTAAAATAAGATACGAAAAAACTCAGTATACTGGTTCAACCAAAAAATCAAGAAAATAAGAATAATAACCTAGCCTAATAGAATATCAGAAAAGATCTCACAGCCCCTAACCAATTCACTAACCCACTAACAGGATCCTAACTGTTTTTCTAACAGAATTTCTTCTAACTTCCTAAGGGAATCTCTAACAAATTGTTTTGAAAACCATATAACAGAATGATAATGAAATTTAAGAGGGGGTATTTGATTCACAACAAAAATAATAGAATACTGGCCTTTTCAACGGTCACGGCAGTCTCTCTCCCTCTCTTCCAAAGTCATCTGCAAGCCTTTTCTCTGCAATTGCTTCTACAATCTTGATCATTTTCTGCAACTGAGCCTACATCTTCATACTACATCCACCTTATCTCTGCAAAAATCATGACCACCAATATCAACTGTATCATACCCCTCTGTTTTCATCTTCCTCATCATGATATTCATCCCTTACATCAATCTTCATTCTTGATGCTTCATCCACAACCTTCATCTTGAACGTTCTAGGATCATTCCCCAAGAAACTCTGAATTGCATCTTCACTAATCTGCAATTTCGACAACCAAATCTTCATCAAAAATTCACAGCTTCAATCTTAACGATAAATCATCAATTTCGGAAGCGCATCATCATCATCACCATAACAATTTCAAATCCACAACATCAACGATTCCACAACCAAAATCTTTATCTCCTGCATCAACATAGAAACAACAATAACAACATCATCATTTTTTCAAACCTTTCCACCACACAGAGAGGTGTTCGCAAAAATCAGAAAACATAGAAAGAATTTGAAGAAGAAGAATAGTTCGTCAAGAAAGTAAGGGAATCATGAAGCATTACCTGAAGATCTCGGAATCTCTGCCTCCATTCGTTGTTATCGAAGTTGCATCGGACGATCACCGATAGGTAGGCTTTGATATTTATTTCTAGCATCTTCTTTGCATAAGAGATTACTTGAATTCTTGTGAACCATGATTGGTGTCCGTGATTGTTAAAACTTCGTCTTTTTCACTTAATTTTGATTCACAAGTTACTTTCTGAACATGTGGATCTTAGAACTAGTTTTGTGTTTAAAATTCGGCAGAGATAAGCAACAAAGAAGTGAGATCAAACGGAAGTCTGAGACGGAGGCCATGCATTGAGACGCAATGTTTTTGAGGCGTCGGAGAAAGGAGGAGTTGAGACGATGAAAATGCGGCGGCACTATGGAGTAGTTGATCAGAGAAAGAGAGAAAGGGCGTCGCCGACGTTTGTTTGAAAGGAAGAAGAATGCTCCTTGTTTCATGTGGGGTGTTAATAGTCACAACAAATTTACCCTAATTTCACGGTTGCATCCTCTTTTCAATTTCTTTTTTATTTTTATCTTTATTTTCTAAATAAATGTTAATAAAAAAGATAACAAGCTGAATCTGGTGATGGATTGGTTATTGGATCTAGAACATGAATGTCTTGGGCCCCTGGAGCCTGATTACTGCATGTACATCCCCCTAAGCCCAATAGTTTTTTTTTTGGTATAACAGAGAATAATTGGAACAAAAACTGAGTGTGGACCTAGCAGTTTGAGCTTAATGCCAATATTTCCTACACACATGTTTCTAGGCCTTGCACCTCCTGTTGCATTCATGTGCTACTTTCTTGTTAATTCATTTTTTTTTAATTTTTATTTTTTGCAATTGTTTGTGTGATTTCTTCATGATTTTGACTATTTTTCCATATGATAAAACAATAAAAAAATACGTAGAATTTAGGAATTCCTCTTAATTTTTTTTTTTCATTTTAGATAATAAACCACAAAATCAATAAAAAAATATAGGCTTTTTATTTGACTTTAGGAAATTAATTCATAATCTTTCGTTTACTTGAAAATTGCGATTCACCTTTGTTTGTTGAGCTGAGTTTTATGCAAGTTCATTATTTGATATGCGGATGTGTTTTGGATTCCGATTGTGATTTTTTTTGCATCGACGAAGTTTCGACACCTATTCCAAATATTCGAACTCTTACTGCTTGTTTGTTGATGCCAGCTTGCGTGAAGTATTCTGAGTTTCTTTACTTTGGTTGCGCTTTTTGCATAAGTCATTGTTCGTTTGGTATTATACTGCTTCTAATTTATTTTTCCGCATTTTATTGCTTTCTAGATATCATGAGAAGTAGGAAATAAAGAGCGTGCGCTCGAAGTCGCTGTTTAAAGACCTGTAGCAGGCATTCCTCACTTCATTTCTTATATGTGTTGTGCTTGTGTTTGCTCCCTTTCTTGTTGATCGATGAGTCACTCATTTTAGCAATTGAGATCACGACTTCGCTCTCAGTGCAAGCTCCCTATAGGATTTTATCGCTTTCCTTTATTTCTTGTTGATCGATGAGTCACTCAATTTAGGAATTGAGATCACGACTTCAGTCTCAGTGCATGTTCCCTATAGGATAGTTTTGTTAGACTTTATTTGGCATGCTAACTTAGACAGGACCTCCCATTATATGATAATGTTAGGCTAGAGATAGGTTAGTCTCCCTTAGATGTTTTCTTCTCGTTTTTGCATAATTGCACTTAAAACTAAAACTTCTTTTTCTTGGCAAATGTATAAAAAATGCTAAGCATACAAAAAATTATTTTCATGGTAAAAACTACCGACCAATCCATTTCTTTTCGCCATTCGACTTTTCTCTTCTAAGAGCATGTTAGCTCCTTTCCACTACAGGTCGTAAGTCTCCAAAGGTCGAGCAACGGTGAGATGATCGAATGCAACATTGTTCATTTAAAAATTACAAACAAACAAAATATATGAGCCGAACTACGGTAGCTCTGATTCCTCAAAAAGGATACGTATGCATTGGGGTAGGGCCCAAGCGAGTACAACTTTATTTTCCCTACATTCTTTCTCCTTTCTTCGCATTGCATTCTCCCATAGTTTATAACATTTAAGCATTAGATTGAACACACCATTTGATTAGAACAACGAGAGTGGATCCCGTAGAGTACTATGGACAGGTAGGGTGCTAATACCTTCCCCTCGCGTAATCGAGTCCCTTACCCAATCTCTCAGTCTCAAGACCTTGATTTCCCCTTTATGTTTTTCTTTGATGATTTTCCTTTCCCTTTCACATGGGATAAATAAATACTCGGTGGTGACTTCATTGATTTTACCACTACATCTAGTAATAGAATGCCGCTGAAAAAATAGAATTTATACAATTTGTGTAAGGGCAAGACAACCAGCTATGTGAAACAACCCCATTGGGTTCCAACTCCATTATTGCCTTTATATCTTCAAGCGTCTCATCACTTTGCTACTTGGCCGAAGGTTGATCAGATTGGTTGGTGTCGTCTGAGCTTGATAGTCGATGCCGAAGTCTGGTCGCAAGATGATCCAATGAGACATAGTGGTACGCTTTATATCCCTAACTTTTGCCTGGACTGCTCTTTCGGGTTTTCAGTCCACCGGGATACCCTTTTTTGCCCAAGCCTCCCTTTTGGGTTTTCAACGTTCCGGGTGTATAGATTTTTTTCATTTTCATCCCTTACTTTTTCCCAAACCCTTTTGGTTCACCGGGAAGCCCTTATTTTTTCCTAGGTCGGTCAACCTAGCGGGTCTTTGATTAGGCATAGTGTCTTTTCACTATGTCTGCATTGACAGGGTGAGGAAGGTCGTCACCATCCATGGTGGTTAGAATCATAGCTCCTCCCGAGAAAATGTTCTTAACCACAAATGGCCCTTCGTACGTGGGGGTCCATTTGCCCCTGGGATCACCTTGTGGAAATATGATGCGTTTGATCACTAGATCCCCGACTTGATATTCTTGCCGCCTGACTTTCTTGTTAAAAGCCTTGATCATTCGCTTTTGGTACGTCTAACCATGGCAGATAGAGGTAAGTCTCTTTTCATCGATTAGATTTAACTGATTAAGTTGGGTTCTGATCCATTCGTCTTTGTTCAAACCCGCATCCTTCATAATCCTGAGAGAAGGTATCTGGACTTCAATGGGTAGGACTGCCTCCATGCCATATACTAGAGAATAAGGGGTTGCCCCTGTCGACGTCCGTGCTGAGGTACGGTACCCATGAAGAGCGAATGGTAACATCTTATGCCAGTCTTTATATGTCACTGTCATCTTCTGTACAATCTTCTTGATGTTCTTGTTAGCTGCTTCAACAATGCCATTCATATTCGATTGGTAAGGGGAAGAATTATGATGTTGTATCTTGAACTGTTTACAGAGCTCGGTGATCATTGTGTTGTTGAGATTCGTATCGTTGTCAATGATAATTCTCTCTGGCACACCATATCGATAGATCATATTATGTTGGATAAATCACGCTACAATGTTCTTGGTTACTGTAGCAAAGGAAGCTGCCTCAACCCACTTCGTGAAGTAATCAATGGCTTCTAAGATGAAGCAATGTCCATTGGAAGCAGTGGGCCTGATTTCACCAATCATGTTGATGCCCCACATTGCAAAGGGCCATGGGGCTGTCAAGACATTTAAGGGGACCGGAGGCACATGCACCTTATCAGCGTAGATTTGGCATTTATGACAAGTTCGAGAGTACTGATAACAATCGGCTTCCATAGTGGACCAGTAGTATCCTACCCGTAGGATCTTCTTTGCCATGGTATGTCCACTGGAATCGATTCCAAAGGTGCCTTCATGTAGATCTGTCATGATCCTCTCTGCTTCATTCTTGTCTACACACCGTAGTAGTGTGGAGTCATGGTTGTGTTTATAGAGGATTCCATTACTGAGGAAGAACTTTGTAGTGAACCTTCTCAGAAACTTCTTATTATTGACAGGTGCCCCTTCGGGATATTCTTGAGCCTCGAGATACCTTTTGACTTTGTGAAACCAGGGTTTGTCTGCCACTTCTTCGGTATCGATTTCACAGCAGTGTGCTGGTTCATCCAACCTCTCAATGGTAATTTGGGGAGCTTCATTGTCCCACCTAACCTTGAACATAGAAGCCATGGTAGCTAGCGCGTCCGCTAATTGGTTCTCCTCTCGTGGGAAATGTTCGAAGGTTACCTCCTCAAAGTGTGGGAGCAATGTCAGTACATACTCTTTGTAAGGAATGAGATTCAGGTGTTTCATATCCCACTCGCCTTTGATCTGACTTATCACTAAAGTGGAATCCCCGAATACATTCAAGAACTTGATCCTTAGGTCAATAGCAGCTCGAAGGCCCGTGATGCACGCTTCATACTCTGCCATGTTGTTGGTGCAATTGAAACATAATTGGGCAGTGAACGGAGTATGACAGCCCTCGGGAGATATGATTAAGGCGCCAATTCCGTTACCCAGTGCGTTTCAGGCTCCGTCAAAATACATAGACCATTGGGATCCCTCCTTAGGTCCTTCATCCGGTCCAGGTTCTTCATAGTCAGTCACCAACATAATATTCTCATCCGGGAACTCAAAATTCATGGACTGGTAGTCATCCACGGCATGATGAGCCAAACGATCAGCCAATACACTCCCCTTTATTGCTTTTTGGGTTGTATATTTTATGTCGTACTCAGTTAAGATGATTTGCCACCTTGATATCCTTCCGGAGAGTGCGGGCTTCTCGAAAATGTACTTGACCAAATCCATCTTTGATATCAACAAGGTAGTGTGAGACAGCATATACTGTCTCAGTCAGTGAGCAGCCCATGCCAAAGCGCAGCAAGTTCTCTCGAGAAATGAGTATCGTGTCTCACAGTCGGTAAACTTTTTGCTAAGGTAGTATATTGCATGCTCTTTTCGACCAGACTCGTCATGCTGCCCCAACACACACCCCATTGAATTGTCTAGCACTGTTAAGTATAATATCAAAGGTCTTCCTTCAACTGGAGGCATCAGAATTAGTGGTTCTTGAAGGTATTCCTTGATTCTTTCAAAAGCAGTCTGACACTCATCATTCCACTTTACCGCTTGATCTTTCTTCATAAGCTTGAAGATTG